TGGCAAGCGACAGAATGAAATGTGCAAGTTTGCAACATTTTGAAATCCCAGTACGGCGACCGTACAGCGGAAACGCTGTCGCCGAAAAACGATTGTGTTAGCACTCAAAACAGAGAAGAGGAACAAACGTTTATCACGAGTTATGACGTACGAAGATTAGAATCTGGAATGTCGAAGACATTCCTAACTTCAACGTGAAAGGAGAGGACGCTGAGAAAATGCGATTTAAGAATACAATAAAATTGTTACAATCAGATTTCAGTTGCTAAATATAATGAAATTAATGGTAATACGATAAAAAAAATTGTTACCAGTTTACTAAACCAATTTACTGAAAAGATAAATAATATTAATCAATAAAATCATTATTACGTATTATAATTATTTACATCTCGACTTAGAATTTATAATGTGCACAAATATATATTTTCTAATACAATATACGTTTACCGCGAACTGAGTAATTAGTTGTCGAGTTAATTACAGTAAAGCATCAACTCTTGAAGCACAAACTTTAAGACAAACTTCTAAAGGAGTCACGTGAGGTCGACAGGACAAGTTAGGGAAACTATTCATCGCAACCGTTTAACCACGCGCGTGGAGAAACCGTCATAAATAATTATCAGCTTATTTAGCTATAGAAAAGCGCGGGAGAAAACGTTGTTCGTAGTGTCGTACGACGTAGGCAAACGGTGTAACCTACTTGAAAAGTTTCGCAGTATAAGCAGGACCATTTTTCAAGTTTTCCATTGGGAGAAGGGGTATGTGCGATCCATAACATTTTGCAACTCGCGACAGTCGCGACTCCTGTGCCTCTTCAACTGTGAGTGACATGAAGCGGGTAGGTGGCATCCTGGGATGAACGAAACGCGTCGAGGCGTGAACGAGGAAATCGATGCGAGGTGAACGTCAAGGAATCGAAGCGGAGAAAAGTTTAAAGAACGCCATGACGAAAGGACGGCATCGGTCCAGGTAGCAATTCGGAATAAAGGACGAATCTCAAGGAGAAATGATTTCACGTACCAACACGCGAGGATGAAGTTCCAAACACTTAGAAGGAAGTTTCTCGTAGAAATCAAACTTAATTGATGAAGTGTAATACTCTCATAAATGACTTGTGAGTACGTACTCAATTACACACTTTCTGCAAAAGTGCTACTCAAGGCATTTCTGATTATTAATCGGAATCATTAACCAGATTTACGCCAAGTTTCAGAAGAGGTTCATTAACCTGCGAACTTGCAGATTTCCAACCATCTGAAAGGCATCACCTTTTCTGAAAAGTAGATTCGAAGAGAATTAAATAGAGCCCAAGCGCTTTGACCTCAGGGAGGCTTGTCGCCTTAAAATCATGACTCGCTGGTTTTGGATGAAAATAAATTCAAAGTGGAAAGCGACATATTGACGGCATTAAATTGAACGAAAATAAGGTGCGCTCTGCGCGACGGTGGTGTCTCAGACGATGACGGCGACAGCGTTACAACATCACAGCGCATCCAGATAGGTATCGGAAAATGTCTTGAGTGATGTCCCCGACGGTACCATACGTCATTTGAGACAATCTGCCGTAGCGAGGTTTCCTCATCCGTTACCTTCGATCCTGATTAGTTTTCAGCCTCTCGCGAGTATCGTCGTTGATCTACATCGATGCAGGCTTTGAACAGAGTCACTCATTGAGATAGGTAGATCGCGTCCTATCTACCACAGTCAATAAATTATGGTTATTCCAGAGATACGTCCTTGTCCTTCGTACATTGAATGGGACTAGGCATAAGCTGTCAATTTACTAAGCTACGGGTTGTAATCCGTAAGAACCAAAGGTATTACTTTACTTTTACAAAGATCCTTAGATTAGCCTAGACAACTTTAAATTTAAATTTCTTATTATATAATCGACTAGAGCGTTATAATATTTTTAATCGTAACTCTTATTAGTTTATTTTTAAATTCATTTTTTTCATTTTAAAACTAAAACAAATTTATTTAAATAGTTGACCAACCTCAAATAGATAATATTGAGATATACCCATTGAGATATACATACAAAGACATTAAATTGTACTAAAAAGAATATTAAAAAATTTTAAAGTTACATTAGCAATTTATAAAGTTTCTATAAACGTATAAATAATATATTTAACTAGTTCAGAGCTTAAATACTGCTGCAGAACGAAAAAATACATCAATTATTATAATGATACAAACTATATTGTTCTTTTAAATAGTACTTGAAATTTTTGATAGATAACACTTGATGATATACGTAATAATATGTCATGTTTGCTAGCTTCTCTCCACACCGTTAAGCTCTCGTTAAATTCAAAACTCAACTTGCTAAATATCATGCATTACATTTTCATTATTAAAACGTCGCCTCGCAAAAATAAATTGTGCGTTACGTGTATTCCGGAGACTGCGTTGAGTGTTGCTCTCGACCAAAATATCCGGGATGGACATTCAGGAAATGAATAAACGCACAATAGCTTGTCGGCGCAAAAAAGACGCGATCTGATTTATCGCGCAGCGTCCATTTTAAGCACGTCCAACGATACCGATGTCATTTAACATTTTGATTAATGCATAACGTTACATCTTTTTATCATTTACGGGACGCATGCGAAAACGGCGATGTCATTCTATTCGAGCGCTACCGAATGAAAACGTCAATCGACACTGTGTTCGTCAAATGGAGTTTCGATGAAAATGCTCCGAGCACACGTGAGAAATTTATATTTTTAGCAAAACGTATTGGCGAGTACAGCAAAAAGCGGGAAGAACATTATGCTAATCGCAGTAATTGGCTTTGCTCGAATGAGCAGCAACTAACTAAACCTGATATATTAACATTGATATAAATAGAAACTTTTACGATACACGTACCGCAGGTGTGCATATAATTATGACTGCGTACACGTACAAATAAAAACATTTCGAGACGAGCAATACAATAAACTGTAACTGTCAACGATTGATTTGTTTGCAGTCAATGTGAGGATCTCGATTCTGGACGATTTAGAATACATGGACCGTGCAAATTTTATATAGTTTCAATTTATTTTCGTCATTTTCCAACCATCTAGCGGCGATACGCACTTCGTGTTGTAAATGGAAAATATACAATAGACATCTGCTATTTGTTTCACTCAAACGAATGTTATTGAGATCCCCACATTAACCATATATATAGCGAACCACCGATAAATAAATGTTTATTGTACATGTTAACTCCAAACTGATTGCATGACTAATATAGTTTAGAAGAAACAGATGTGACGTGTTTAATTGCTACACAGATGATAGTAACACAAGAGAGAGAATGTAAAATTAAACCGAAATATTCGCAACATGACATATATTACTTCTTATTTCAATAAACAAATTATTAAATTAGCATTTATATTAGAATCTATAACACAAGAAAATTCTTTATGTTTCTTCATACATCTTTAAGTATTTTTTATAAAATGTGGATGCAAGGTCAAATGTGATGCAAAAGGGATATTATTTTAAAACGTTTGAAAAGCAATTTTTTTTTATTATATAATATATAGTAAATTATTTCAAATATGTAGAAGATGAAATAAAAACACATATTTATCATAGAAATAAATATCTATTTATTCATTTTCTTTACAGTTGTAAAAAGTAAACAACTTTAACTCACGGGTCTTGCAAGACCTTGTGTTCGCTGGCGAACGTTAAAGCGTAATATTTATTATGTTTCAATAATATTAAATTTTTATCTTGAAATACGACAGGAAAAAATCTATTTTTAAATTGTATACCTTCATAAAACTAAAATACCTTGTTTTTTCTTATCAATATGAAATAATTTATTTCAAAGAACTAAAATGAGAAGGAAAAATTATTTAATCGTTTGACAAAAAATTTAATTGTTCACTAAATATTAGCCTTTCTTTCTAGCGAAATCATTTTGTGTAAAATGTATATATATTAATATTTATATAAAATGATAATATCTCAAATTTTAGGAGGTGGAAATAATTAAGGAGAATATGTCGATAGCAAGAAGATCCGCGAAATTAAGGTAACAATTAGCGAGTCCACTGTGGTTTCAGTTATGTTCTACAGGAGTTTCTGTATTGGCTCGTAAAAGACCCCAACGTAAACTGAGATAATGGGTCGACTTGGTTCACTTAAGGCGCCGGAACTTACGCGCGTTCATGGACAAGTACTATGGTACAGCTCGTAACATTTGCGGCCAAATGGTTCAAGTGCAATCAATTTATACATATTACTACTAACACGATAATGATTGGATAGTGAGTGACGCAACCGATATATATATATATTTTTTACCAACTCATTGGACTCTCGTATCATAACAGATTATTCATGATCAATTGATCGTCAGGTGTTTATTGACACATTCATTATGTAAAGAATGTCTTATCAACGATTAATGACCAAAGTTCTTGTATTAGTAATCAATTTCTACTTCATAAATAATTAATTTCCGATTTGTTTAACTTGTAAGTATCTATGTTTAGTATCTATGTAAGTATCTGATATTTATGATCAAATTTTTAAATGTTTATAAACTTTTATATAATAGTATGATAAATTACTACACTACTGATTTTTTATATTAAGTAAAAAAATATAATTAAATTCTGTCGCGCGTGTGCGCGCACACACACATACATACATACATACACATATACATACACACAAAAAACAATTTATTTATTTTAAAGTCTTGACAAAAATAATTTAACAATACCACTGATAAACTTAATAAAATTATAATAAAATCATGATTGCGTATATAATTGCATATAACTAACTGCAGAATGTTATTTACAATATAAATATATTTTTTATATGACTAAACAATTACTAAAGTAACAAAAGTTAACATAAAAATGAATTTGTCCGTTCAAAAATCAATAGCAAGTGACATTTTTTTTCAGAAAAAGATATTAGAATGTGAATGCGATTATTGGCTCGTGTCCATTTTTATCGAAGAATATCGGAGCCAAAAATAGTGTAAGAAATCCCAGTTGCATCAGCAGATCTCAAAAAGGAAAGTGGATGATTGCTTCCGAAACATTGCACTATTTTCTATAAGCTTCTTCTTCTTGCACTTCAGTCTTTCAGTTAAGTATTGTAAATCATTTTTTTATAGAAATTCATGTTATTGACCATATAATTCTTCTTGATTCTATATATAGTTGTAAAAGAAGAGAACAAACATTTTACTAGGAAAATAAGATATTTTTCTATTAAATCTTTTATCGAAAAGAATAATAACATAGATAACAACATAGATGAATAAAACGTCAGATTATCTTGGAAAAGTTTTTATGCAATAAGCTATATTTAATTTTATGGAAAAACAGTACGAATTATATTTTATTGTATTAAATTTATTCATGTTTTGTAATCATTTCAAGAAATTTTCTTCAAAAAAAGTAAATTGCAAGATAATAAAATAGCACTACTTAAAACTATTAACACTATATAGAAGGTCTACAGTTATTTATTTTAATACATGAAACAATTTATATCTAACATTTTTTTTAAATCTACCAGATTACTTTATATCGAAACGGAAAGAGAATGATAGCGCATAATGGTCGCACGTGGCACAAAAGCGCGCTGCATCACATAAAGGGAATCTCTCTCCCCGCTCTTCGTCGAAAATACGCAATGTCTTTTATTCCTAAGTTTCACGATCGCAAAAGTTGCGCGAGAAACAGTCGAGTCTGCCAAAATTTAAAGTGGTTCCAAAACGGAGTATTGTACAAAACACAACGAGGCAATTCGCTTCCGCATGGGACCGACCGACTGTCTGCGACACTAAAAAGGACAGCCCGCGATTCAGCCGATTCGCCTCGACGTAGGAAGTCGATGCGCGCTTTTTGTCAGTGAGAAACTTCTTTTCGTACGAGTAAGTACTCGTTTTCTGAGTGATACGCAGAGATACGTATATCTAACGAGTGACAGCTTCAGTTCCGTATGTGCCCACTACAGAGTTCTTCTCTTTTCTCGTTTTCTTCCTTTGAAATGTGACTGGCGAGTAAGTTTAAATCGGTGACAAAGAAAAGATGAGAAAGGCCGAGTTTCAGAAAATATCCAAGACAGTTACAATTTTCAACCATTGCAACGTAAATAGCATGACTAGTCTTTATTTTTATTATATAACGCAGTATATCGATGTTTTGATTACATTGAAGTCTTATTCTAAAAAATATATTTGTCTTCAAGATTTAACATTTTTATCAATATGATTTGCTGCAACAGATGCATAATAACTTCACAAGAAGCAAAAAAGAAAGATTCTAATAATAGATAATAATAGATTCTAATAATAGATATTCAATCATAAATATTATTATCAAGTCTACCTTGAATGTTACAAAAAAACAATCAACTACATACACAGAAAAGATTAACAAAAGAATACGATTTTTTTTCTTAAACTAGTTAGCTCGAGACATTGCTTTTCTTTATTTACCGCAGTTCGAGTTAATTTCCTCATCCACTTCGTTCGTAATTACAATTCCATCCAGTTATTTTTCAGAGCCAGAGACATCGCGCTGCTCCGCACGTTTAGGATCGCTTCGGGTACAACTTTAATTTGTTCGTTACATGGATAATTAGCAAAGGCAACGCGCCGTGACCAGGCCGAACCAGGAATTTTGCGAGCGTAATTATTTCAGTTAATGCCCCGGATATTTTTTAAATGGCAGCGCGTTCCTAATATCGAGTATATTAAACTATGTATCTCGAAGAGCGAAAAGCACCGCGAAAAATACATCAATTTGTCTAGCGGAATTTCGTGGTTGGCATCCCGTGAAAAGCATAAAACTGCACGGCACTTACACAGTGGCAGCAGGAAGATGGCTGCTCCTCACGTTCCTAATAATAATAATAATAAGAGAGCCGGGCGAGCAGGACGAACAAAAGTACTGGAGGAAACGCGACCTACGTAGTACGTTGATGCTCGACCGTTACTTATGCTCGGCATTTTGCCAGCAGCAATGAAAAACATCTCGGAATAATGTAACTTGCATCCAGGGAAAATGACGAGGCGTAGATCTGTGTATAAATCGCTATTGTGGCTTGTGCCACAGTTATTTATGCACGCGTCATCCAGTATATAGCTCGACCGATCGTTGAAGCTGACCACGCACATCCCATAGGCGTCATTATGTTCCCGATTGATTACACAAATCGATAACTCCGACTGAGATTACTCGTCCTATGATGTGGTCGAACTTTTCGTACAAGTAGATCGATTCAATGATTACTGATCAATGAGCGTTCCTGTACGCCGGAAACCGCACGTTGGACGTCGCCTGCCAAGTTGCAGATTCATTTGTGTTAGCAAAAAATCACGGAAATATTTTTCTCTCTCCTTGTCTATTCATACGCCACATTTGGACGCGGGCTGAATAAATCTGGTTTCTTTTTCGAGCGAACGATTTTTCAACCGAACAATACGAGGTGCAGTGGAAAAAACTACCGTGCGCAATTGCGTAGCAATGAATTTCCGATTTATCGTTCTGCTGTTGATCTTTACACCACGGCCTACATTTGCGGAATGCATTCCTGATAGAACAAACATTATATATGTAGATAAATGTACGTGTACATGTCGGCGCGAAGTAACTGACATATTTGAAACCCATCAAAGCGACGTTTGTCGCGTATATTCAGAAAAATAAAATTGATAATTCCCACAAAAGAAATACGACGCAAATATCGAGTAAGGTAATGCCAATTTTACGATTTTCGTACAAAAGACACGAATGTTTCATTGTGGCAGAAAGAGAATCAAGCACCTAGCACGAGGATATGAACAGCCGAACGACGAACATCACCGTCAGAGAAGCATAAAACTCAGCTACGATGTCATTCATTTAATGAATCGGGGGGTGAGGTCGAAATTTCGTTGGTGAGTATCCATCGTTTGCAGCCGCCACAAAGTCGATGCACATACAGTATCTTTTTTTCGATGGATCGTAAAAGCTTGGATATTACATAGCCGACTAACTGACTCAGATATTTGGATAGTATTATAAAGAGATGTCACGTTCCGTTCATAATACGTGTCTTTTCCACGATTTTGTACGTCAATGTAGCATTAGTCATGCAATCTGTACTTCAAATCTAGTTCTCAAATACAAAACATTTCTTACAAGAAAGCATATGCAAAAATTACATTAACTATATTGAAAAGCGTTATGATGCTTCTGCTAATGGATACAGCAGCTTTAAATTTTTCCATAAAACACACGCATCGCTTACCGCGTAGCTGGTGCCTCCTCCAATTTTATAAATGCATTAAATAATTAGTTGCAAACTTCATCATCTACATTCAAAAATTAATTTCATTATCGACTTACTCAACGATACTGATGGTCGCGCTATATATTCGATTTTTATGTTTCTAAAATGCATAAAACAGATTTCGTTAAACAGAGATTTTACGCAGCGCGGCATACTTTGAACCTACGGCGAAACTAAGCTAATAATATTTTCCAATGCTAAATTCAAACGGAATCGTGGAGCGTCAGGCTCGTAAATAATTGTTTTCTACCGGTATAATTTACGTCTCGTCAAACATACAGCTGCGCGCTGTACAGTTATTTGTATTATGCGAAACGTCAAATAGAATTTCTGTTTTAATTAATATCCTCTATACAAACAACTAAGTATTAATTATAAAATATTATACAATAATCGCGGCGTAAATAAAATATCTCTTATATAATTAATTTTTGTAATTGTTATAATGAATTGATAATATTTAATCGAAGATTAAAAGTTTTATTTCAACAGAATTCTAATTTGAGAATTTATCAAAGCATGTTACAAATCATAATATAGCAGGGGATGTAAAAGGATTAGTCAAACAACAAGATAAGAAAGAAGTGCGTTCCAATTACAATTACATTATATAGTTTTACTCAATCCTATATATAATTAAATAATAAAATAATTAAGTAACTTTATAATGTATATCGAATAATATAGATGGTAATTTTTCATTCTCGAAAATTCTTGATTAAATGAAATGATCATAAGAGTAACTGTTTCTTTTGAGAAATTAAATTATTTCTTAATAACCAATTAAGAATACATCTTATCTTTCCACATATAAACTAACACTCCTAAAACCAAAATGAAAGCATACCTTTGAATTACATATCTTTATGTTATCAAACTTCAAAACTTCGATGAGGACATCACTGCAACGGAAGTTCCTCGTCTCTTCCGGTCGCTCAGTTGAGACTGCGCCCACTGAAATTCTATGTTACGCAAGCGACGTCCATTAATGAAAATCGATTACCCATCAGGGCTGATGCTTACACCAACGCGCGTCAAAAGCGCGTGTACACACACCATCTCATCGCGCTAGCCAGTTTGCTGGCGATGGTTGTAGATTGCTCAGCTTATATACCTTAATTCCGGAGATTCAAGAGGACACATTAGCTCATCTAAAAGACGTGTGTCTGTACGCATCCTTGAATAAATTTATCCGATCATCGCGTAATTACAATGGTATTAATAATAGAAGTCCATATAGATATCGATCTAGAATTGACGAGTAATGATAATGAATGCTAACCAGCGCATTTTAATCGTACGCTTACTACACATAAATTATTATCAAATGTATTTACTTCGACAAACCCTCTGATATAATTATAAATTTATATCTATCGTTACGCTTTAAAAAGTGCAATGTTTTAAATGTTTATGTTTAAAATATCTTTGCAAAATGTTTAATACTAAAAGATATTTCAATTAAAAACGTTCTAATGTTTTAAATACAAACACACAATGTTTGAATTTATTGAAAACGTTTAGAACTAAAATATCTTTAAATTTAAAAAATGGAGACAAAAATAAAACATTTTAATATCTTAAAATTAAACATTTCTTTTATGAGTATAAATACATTACATAAAGTTAATAATTTTGATTTTTCTAACGTAAACGCAACATATCTCATAAATACAAAATGTAAAAGGAACGAATTAAATATTGTACAAATATCACATACAACGTAAAAATTCATAAACATTTGTATCCACCGCTTAATATATCGTTTAATTTATAAAATTTAAAATGTATCGTGTTATATATTTTTTTTAAGAATATATATATTTATTATAGAATACATATGTTTTACAATAAATAAGCTATGCTTTTAATATGTTGACAGAAAAGTTGAAATTGAATCCATTTTGTAAAGAACATGGAAAATAATTACATCTGAAATAAGAGTTTAAATGAAAAAAATTCTTATATGAAATGAAATAGCATACATGTCGTATGTAACATGTGTATCATTTGTGCAAGGATATACCTTTACATATAAGTTATAACAAGTTTGCAGAGGAAGATAGCGTTTTTACTCAGTTGGCTAAATTCTTATTGGCAGGGTGAGTTTTCCCAGAAGGGTTACACGGTACGAAGGAGCACTGAGCAGCAAGTTTCACATTGAGCTATAAAATTCTCTAGAACGGCGCAAGGGTGAGGGCGGAAAAATCAATTAGACTGCCTTCGACAGCCACGTCGCCATGATTCAGGAAACCGATAAATCTCAGCTCAGCGACATCAGCACCTCGACTGAAGTCTCGAGTATCTCGCGCCATTTCCACGTTCTTTTCCTTATCCTTTTCTTTCTCAACATTGATTCTCAAGTGCAACGAGCCTCTAACGAAGGTAAAAGAGAAGTACTTTATTGATGCTTCATAATTTTCAAACAAAAAGTAAGCCAAAATTTATTCGAAATAAAATCTATCGAATAAAAGATACAAATAAAAGAAAAATGTATAAAATGTATTATGAGACAAATATATTCATAGAGACTTATGAATTTTTTAATTGGCGTAAGTAACGACTGTAATTAAAATACAAAGAAATTTCTTTTGATTAAATTTAAATAAATGTATATTAATATATGGAATACGTTCAGGATTATTATAAATATATAAAATATACCAACAAAGATTTGTTTAAATAATACTAAAAACATTTACTAAATTATTTAATAAATAAATATTTACTAAATAAACAAAGATAACAATTAAATTAAATTAATGGTTTGTACCAAATAAATATATGTTTGTATTTACCTAGTTAATATTCAGCTATAGAAATAAATATTTATTAAAATTTTGTACATTTTTTTCTCAGCGTAGAAAATCTTTTATCGTTTTAAAAATGTTATTCACAGTTCTTTAACAGATTTGAATGAGAGTAACTCTTTTAGAATTTTAATAAATGCCATCAAGACTCAAAGGCCGTAACGCTATTATTATGTTTGTCAAAATCAATATATTCTGGTTTACAGATCGTTGTCAATAATAGTTTATAAGTGCCTGGTATAGTGAATAATTCTGGACGATCTCGGAATCGAATCGACAGAATCTGTATAAATCGCAATCACAATGTCTGTGGCGATTTTACCTCTACGTAGATATCGTCGGTGTACGACATAGTAGGTGCAGATAAGAAATTACTACCATATACCGAATTGAAAAGGTCTCCCATGTTCCCCGAATGGATTCTTACCAGGAATATGTCACCATATTTCTCGTTCTTTGAGCGGTACCACGCGAAAACGGATAGATGAATTATAACGATTACATGGGTTCAATTTATAAGCTATGGATATTTGCGAAGTTTAATTCTTTTACTATAAAGATTTATGTATATGTGTATTTTCATAGACGATTGCTATCCTTGTTTTATATATTAAAAACCTGATAAAAAAATCATGGTTCATTAATACTGAAAATTGTGTTTAAAAAAGTATTATTTAATTATGTACATTATTAACTTTTTCTACAACTAAAAAAAAAATTACTTAAACATGCACGGAAAAAATTTTTTCTTAGAATTACTCTGAAAATATGGTAATTCTGGGACAACATTGTATTTCGAAAAATTTTATGTAAATTTTTCTCATTTATTAATAAAACTACAATAAAATATAAAATAAATTTGACTAATTTTACTGAAGTGCATAGTAAAAATTTTTTACATATTGTATTGTACTATGTTTTCAGAGTAAATTTTAAAAGATAATTCTCTCCGTGTACAGTATCAATGGTATTTAATACTATCTCTCGTGAAGAAAAGTTGATAATTTAGGAAGCTTTAGAGTGCTAATTGAAAGACGATTGCACTTTGACTTCTTGGTACATGATAAAATGAATAAAACATTTAAGCTCCTCTTTGAATATTTATTACATATTTATATAGATCTAATAAATCATCGTAATGAAAAATTAATCATACAGTTACATGGGAAATATTTTATATGATCCGAAAATGTTAACTTTTCCTTTTTTTCTAACTTCAACAAATATAATATAAATTGTTCTATACTAGCGAACGAAAGAAAACTATATAAACAAAGTTCCTATTGAGTTCGAGAATGAAAGTATAGTGGGTGTCCAATGTGAACTTCCTACTTCATCTTTAGGGATTTTGTTTCAAGGATTAGAGAGAAGAAGGGAAAGTTAAGTGAAGGGCCAATTAAACCAATATACCAGAAAACCATGCTATGTGCTCGAGTACGTTCTTCGTTTCCTTCATTTTCGTCGCTTTCACCTTCTTCCATAGTTCTCCCGAGAAAAGAACGATTAATTGCGTAACTTTGTTCTCCCTGTAGAAAATATCTTCTCCTGTCGATGTCTAGCTTGTAAATGTCAAAAATCATATGTACAAAATAATATGAACCATATGTCATCGCTGCAATTTATCGCTTTATTTTAAGAAAATCTGTAATACAAATTATTGTACATATATTTTATCTGTCTAAATACCAATGCCATTATCTAATAATTCTAATAATTTTAAATTATAAAAACGTAATAAATGATTGCAATAATTAATATTTAAAAAGATGTAATTCAAGACATCAAATTGAAAATTCTACAAAATATTACTTTTTTTATTGAATCAATATCTACATCTTTGTTTAATTTTTTACATAAATATTTCCATAAATAATAGATAAATGAAATAGCGTATGTGCATCAAATATAGGCATATTAAATATATATAGATTTTTTATATATGAATTTCTATCACGGTACATGATAAAAATGAATGCAACATTAAGATCCCTCTTTGAATATCTATTATACTTTTATGTTGTATGAACTATATCATTAAATATCATTTAAAATATATATTCAAATAATAATATTGATAAATTTATAGTTTATTATCGCTATAAATCGCCGTTCCTATTTTACGGTCATACATAATTGCAAGCAATTTTACAATGCAATTTTTCCTAAGTTGTTTATGAATTAATTCTTCTATTAATTAATTCTTCTATTAACTAATTATAATCAAATTATGAAAAATTGAGTACCGATTATTACTTTAATTAAAAAATTAAAAAACGAATTATTACGAAAATTATAAAGAACGCATTATTTTATAGATATCAATTTAAGATAATCTCTGAAAAGTTTAAATAAAAAAAATTGAGATATTATCATCAATCAGAAAAATGTGTTTACTTTGCAAATGTGTATATATAAAAAATATTCTTCTTTTCTCTCCTTTTTTTATTTATTTTATTAAAATATATCTCGTGGGATTTTTCTACGTTGAATGTGTTACGATTACTTCATTTTATTCCGTGTGCGGAAGATTATAGTCAATTTCGGAATAAG